ACAAGAATATAAGAGTCTTTAAAAAGGAAATGCATCAATTTAAAATTTTATTCGTTAGCCATGAACAAAAGCACTAACACTTCTGATACGGCACAATTGGCATCTTTATCAGAGGAATCGATGAACATTATATCACAGAACAAATGGTTGCTTTAGTATCGTTAAAGGACAAAACTAAGTCTGTAGATTTATGCGATGCATTAAAAACGCCGCTGAAAAGGTTTTCTTTACCTGTGAAAAATTTATCAGCTATCATAACCGGTGCAGCCCCTGCCATGGTTGGTAAAAAGGGGAGACTTGTTAAAATGGTAAAACCGTCGCTGCCAGCAATATGATCTTAATGGCATACCATTCATTATATTGTACATCAGGACAATTAATGTGAAAAAAAAATTTTAAATGGAAATATTAAGCATTGTTATAAAAACTATTAACTTTATATGAGCAAAAAGACTTTATCATAGAACATTTCTTAAGGTAATAGGCACTGAATTTGCAGATGTTATTTATTATACAGAAGTGAGATGCCTCAGTAAGGGGAAAATGCTCACACAATTTTACGATTTAAGAACTGAAATAAAAATATTTATCGAAACAAAAGGGAAACCTGTGACTGAATTTGAAGATGAAGATTGGGTTTTAAATTTAGTTTTTTTCACTAGACTTAACAAAACATTTGAAAGATTTTTTGAAAGATTTAAGTTTGAGATTTCAAGGAAAAAATCAACTTATTAAATAATATGTTCCAAATAATAACAGCATTTGAAAGAAAGTTACAATTTTGGCACAATCAAATAAAAGATTTGACACATTTTAGTACTTTGGCTGCACATAAGTGAGTTGCACATATGTAAAATATGCTGCATTAAATTTTGATTTAATTCAAGAGTTTGAAAGTACATTTAAAGATTTTTGAAAAAATGAAGAGTACTTCAACATATTTTCTACCCTATTTTCTCTGGAAATAAGTAAATTACCTTCGAATGGAATGCACTGAACTGCAAAATGACATTCAACTAGAAGAAAAATTTGAAAATGTTTCTTCACTGGAGTTTTATAAAGATTACCTAGCCCGCAATAAGTATCCTAATTTTCACAATCATGCTTTATTAATGTCTTCAGCTTTTGGCAGTACCTATATTTGTAAACAAGTACTTTCAAGAATGAAGCATACAAAAAACAAAAATAGAACAAAGATCGACAAACATCTTGAAAATGCATTAAGAATTGCAACCTCGTCTCCTGAACCCGATATTGATTTGCTTCTTCAAAAAAAGCAAATTCATTCATCTCATTAATTTTTTCCATCTTTACGAAATCCAAATTAACATACCTATACATATCAAATTCAAATTAATAATAAAAAGAAGTTAGTTTAACAAAGCAACATAGAGCTAAATTTTATTTCAATTTGCTAACAAATATTGTATGCGTGGGCCCACAAATTTTTTTTCTTAGAAATGTGGCTCTCAAACGGTTACCGTTTAGACACGAATGATATAAATCAACGTAGATACACACAAACACACACAAAAATGTTACAATACAGAAATAAAGTAGACATAGAAAGTTAAATAAAGTAGACGATGCAAAGTTATGGCACTGATGATTTTGCCAATTTGATTTTGATTATATTCAGAACACTAGTAAAAATCAAAGCATGAAATGGTTACCAAAATAAAGAAAAACAATGGAGAAGTGCGACCCATGTATCATTGAAATCTAAAACCTCTAAAAAGGCAGAATACCTAATCTACTATATCTGGGCGGGGAAGTATTCCAAAGCATGGATAATATGTGCAATTTTTTATATGAATTGATAGAGTTAAAGACCCAAATATACACACAAAACCTACATAATCAAATACAGTACAAAGTTTTTAATCCGGACTTCCATAATCCGGAATGATCTATAATCCAGACCTCAAAGCTACAAACTTTCTGCGCATGCGAAGCGTTTACGCATGCGCATAATATCTTTATGTATGCACATGCGCGCTTAATGTGTAACGGACGGTATAAGATAGGCTAAAATTATCTAATTATCCATTCAGTTAATGTTGCAGATTGCGTTGTTCCTTAATCTTCTAATTGGACTTGGCTTATTATTTTTTGCAGACTGTTAGAGCAATTTTATAAAAAGTAAGCTTGACTTTTCGATTACGTTAAAAAGAGTTCCGATTCTGGAGCTTACAAAGAGAAAGCATGTTTCGATGTCCTACAATCAAAAAATGGATAAAGGCATGAAGAAAGTAACAGAGAGGTTAGTGAAGACGAAAAAATTTCGATTGACAAGTTAGTCGGTATTCTCGGCACAGCAATTACAGGACTTGAACAGCGAGATTTTGTAACTGAACAAGAAATAACGTCTGTTTATAGAATTAAAGAGAAAGTATTAGCACATAAAAAAGCAACATAAACAACTTACATTGAAAGAAATGTTTAATAAAATAAACAAATAAATATTAAGCTTTTTTTTTGTAAATTTTGATACCCTTTAGATCATAATTGCTCTTTATTTCATAAATTATGGTTTCATATTTTTAATTTTATAATTTCTGCATGCCATCTTAGCAGATTTAAATTGATGATCTATAATCCAGAAAAACACCTAATACGGAATCGCCGAAGTCCCAACGAGTCTGGATTAAGGGGTATCAGAAACCCCTAAACCAACAATGTTAAATTGGCCGTTTTCGATGTACCTTTTGTCAAAATCTGCTGTAGATACAAGCTTGAAATTTTTTTGTAATTAAAGTATACCTATCTGATTATACTGAAATGAGCTTTTGAAACATTTTGAATTTTAGAGTAAATTACATAATATTTTGTTAGGCATAGTAAAATTTAGCACTTTTCTCACAACAAAAAGCACACTTCAGTATATATTAGGGAACCTAAGAAACAAGCCATAAAAAAGTTTAGATACATACCTGCGAGCAGTAGTTCCTTAGAAAAGGTACACTGAGTATAAAAAAATCACGTTTGGAGAAATTAACACCTAATACGTATTTTTATGAAAATTTTTATGTAAAAATCCTCATTGATCAAAGCAGTAGATGACAAATTAAAACTAGATTTTTATACAGTTCTAATTTTCATAGAGATTAAAGAATGGTATTTTTAGAAAGATAAAAGTGAAGAGAATTTGAAAATCCAAAAATCCAAAATCACAATTTTTTGAAGATTTTGGGGTTCAACACCCCCTTAAAAGACTTTGTACTGTACTTCTAAAAGTTTTATGGTTACTGTCACTGGGGTGACTAATAATATTTTTTTGTTAGTGACATATAAATATAAAAAATCTCTTTAGATGCTACACCACTTAAATACAATTAAATGCAATCACAGTGAATGTTGTGGTGACCACTTGTAAAAATCAGCAGTATAACTGAAAATATAAATATCAATACTAGGCATCACCTCTCTACGACAACCATTTCCACAAAAGACTAAAATATCTGGAACCATGTGCGGTCATCCTAGAGAGGATTCACTGTAATTCTGTCAATTCAGGATCATGTTTCTTCCAGGACAGTAGAAGAAACTAAAAGAAATTTAATAATGCTGCATCCACAGGGCTGCTAAAGGGGAAAAATTTACTAATAACAGCTTAACTTATTTGAAAATTGATTACTTCTGCAATAAAATGAGAAATAACCAAATATTTTTCAAAAAAAAAAAAAAAAAAAAAAAAAAAAAAAAAAAAAGGGAGAAGAAGAAGAAGAATGAAAAGGGTGGCAGAATTCTTATTTATTTAAAATGTGTAACGCTGTTAATGATGACATAGATTCAGTTTTTTAATGATAAATTATATTTTGTTTTCTGTCTTTTTGAATAAATATGCTAATTTTATATTTATTACTGTTAGGAATTGAAATTCAGCTTCAAAATTCATCCAAACTCTCAGACTTTAGAGCAGATCTTATATTAAGTACAAAAAAATGTGCACAGATATATGCACATATTTATATTACTAAAGAAAGGTTATTGTAGACATAAAAATTAAACTAAATATAAGCATAATGAAAATATACAAATTAGTTAATACAGCAGTGTTATATATGAATAAAATATACATAAGTTGATATTAATAAGTAAAAAAGAAAAATTATTTTTTTCTAGCTGATGCCCTCTCACGAAAGAAACTTGCTAAACCTGCCAAGAAAATATTTTTAAAATTCTGCTTTACTCTGACACTATTTGTGACAATACATAAAATCTTGTATGAAGGAAAAGAATGCATCATTTCTGAAATTTCATATGCACTGGAAATTATATTTGCATTTAAAGTTCAGCAAGATTACAGCAACTTTCCTTCTATTTTGAATTTATCCACTCATCACAAAAATTTCAAAATGTTATTACACATGATTGGGAGGGGGCAGCTACGTTATGTTTGGTGACAATGTTTTTATAATGATGTAACTTTATCTTTTAACTATTTTTTCAATTTTACTTTCTATTCCTCTTAAATAACTTGGTATTTTTGTTACCGATATGAACAGAAATTCAGTTTCAGAATACATAAATTCACAGATGTGAAACAGATCACACAGTTATTACAAAAATACACACACAAATACATATATCCATATACATGTGTATACAGATATATACTTCCAAAAAATTATTGCAAGCATATGAATAAGTTTTTTTAATTATATAAAAAATAAAAATACTTAAATTAGTATTATAAGTGTTAATTTATGAATAAAACATAAATAAAATAATATAAACATAAATGTGTTAAAAAATTAGTTTCCTAAATGATTTTTTTTTCCTGGCTGTTTTACCCTTTATGGAAGAAACTTGCCAACACCGTTATCAATTTTATAATTCTGACGAAAATGATATATGAATGATTAAAATTAATATGATACTCAAATAACATAAGGAATTAACTAATAAAAAAATGTTTAGGTTTTAATGCTATGAAAAAATGTGAAGAATAATATGCAACTAAGAGTAAAGAGATGGAAGAAAAATAAGTCTCTTACTTGTATAAGGGATACTATTTCAACTTTGTTGAAGAATATGAAAGAACTTAAAGTCGATAACATATTCTCTTCAAAAACTGAAGGAGTAGGAAAACAAACATCCTGAATATACTGGACGCGATATGTCTGATGAATTTTTGCAATAAGTTCTTGATTTGAAATGGGGATGACTTCCTTGAAATGAGAAACATTACGTAAAAAATCCCTGTGTCGTTTTGGTACGGGTGACGAAGGATCATATTCAAGAACACCAACAACATCAAATATAGTGTCTTCAGCAAACATCACTTCAAACAAAGCATTTTTGTTAAGCATAAATATATTTCTAAAAATTTCAAACAACTGATGTAGTCCTTCAAGATTTTCTAAGTCCTCACACATGTGAAATATTTTTAAAAGTTTTTTGATGTAATTCTCTGATTCTAAAATCATTGCTAACTTCTCCCTCCGTGCAGGAGAAGGTAAGCAACTACTAATTGCTTCATTAACTTCCTCTAATCTGCTAAGTTCACATGGTGGTAGTTCTATAGGAGGGGCGGAATCGGACACATCTTCAAAGCGCTCATCTTCAGATTCTTCTACTAAATCTTGAGTTATGTCAACTGATGGATCCTTACCTTGTACCTATGGGATAAATAAAAATGTAAGACATTTTAAATGTTAAAACTTTTAATGCATTATATTTATCCTATGAGTTAAAACAAAAAATATGACCTAAGCCTAAAAAATTAACTTAAGAACAAAAAAAGATTTAGCAATCTTATCTTCTCTAAATGGGCAGAATTTGGTATTCATTACTGTAAACAAAGCAGTGCTAGTACACAGAATTTTTTATTTTTATGTAACAATCTAGAACTCATTCTCTTCATATAAATGTATAATATAATAATTTAAAATAACAGGTTATTAACTTGCGTGGATTTTTGTTAAAAAGAAAATATAAAATATGAACCGAAAGCAGTTTTTCTGACAGTGAAAATCTGACAAAAGCTATCAGGTGGAAATGTCTACTGCATAACTGTATACAGCATTATCTAATTACACAGTTAATACTGCTGCATATTAAGAAAGTGATATGAAATGTAACAAAATAGATTTAAACAAAAGAATTCCTTCCACCTCTTACTTTTCCCATTTTAAACTGAAGACAAAATTTATGATTTTCCATTGCCTCCCAGATTTAAGAACAAAATTATCATTCACATTTACTACCATATTGCCAAATATATAACCATATTCTCAAAGAGTGTAACAAGAATTTTAAAGTACTGCCTTAATATTCACAATATTTCCTTACATTAATCAGCATAAGAATTATATATAATTAAGACTGGAACTCCTTTGAAGGCATACTGCTAAATTAATTTTAGACATTCTAATAAAATTTAAGAGTGAGCAAATAACTGAAGTAATACCATCAACTCCCAATTTACTGGGAACAAATTAATCAGAACTTGTCTAAAAAAAAAGTTTGTTTATTGCAGACCAATGGAAAAGTTATGATCCCACACCATCAATATAAAATAATTATGTGTGCAGAATAGGAAAAGAAAAGTAAAAAATATTTTATGCCATTTTAAGCTTTCTTATTTCTAATAAAGTATATTCTCCTGTTGTTTACATTATATTCTTTATATTTAAAAACTGTTTAAATTTGCAAAACCAAAGTAACTTATTCTGCACATGGATTATTTATTTTACATTTTTTTTTTATTGTCCTTGGATTAACTGTGATTTTGAGTTAGATATTATCCCAGTCAATTGGAAGTTGACTGTATTTCTCTTGAGCGTCATATTTATAAACCAGGTTTCTTTAGCCTCTAAGATAACAAAAGGATAACTCTGCAATAATTCATAACACAAAAGGAAACAAATCATATACAGACTCATATACATAATCATATACAGGTGTAAATTATAGAAATTCATGTGATGAAAGAAACATCAACTAGATACCTGATGTTCAACTCCATGATTTTCATTAATTTAAATATTTACTTCTGCAAAGATTGGGTTTGTACATAACTAACAACTCCTAAAAATTTACTATATAATATTTACATTGTTAAAATAATGCATAAATTGAAAATTCTAAGAAATGTTATACATAATGAAATTTAGAGGGTAAAAAAAAAGCCATTTTAGAATTTACTTGTCTTAAAATACTCAATTCCGGTTAAAATATGATTTAAGTTTTTTTAACACCTGAGGTGAATTTAATATACAACCTATAACAAACAGGTAATTTCTGATTATCTGCATCCCCAATGAAAAGTCGCAAAAAAATACTGATGAGGCAACAAACCATGTCGCCAAAAAATATTTATATGGCTATTCACAATGGTGCCAAAAGTATTTGTGTGGTAACCTACAGAGCACAGCAAACCCCCACGGAGATTTTCAATTTTCGCCCATATGACAGCAGCTTATGCTCTTTCCTATTGGAATTTTAATATTTTAGCATAGTGGTTGAACATATACTGCAATTATTGGAGTCCTCAAGAAATCTCGGATTCAGCTGTCTGCACGCATACAGTTATACGTATCACTTAAAGGCATCATGTTGCTCTTTTTCCCCTTTCATTTTAGGTTTTTTGGGGCAAATGTCGATTTTTTTTTAACAGCAAAAACAGATCGCTGTGTATATGAAGAGAATGTAAAAAAGCAAAATGTGCATCTTGTATAAAAAGAACAAACACATACACACACACACACACACACACACACACACACACACACACACACACAAAAAAAAAAAAAAAAATTACACAACATTGTCTGCATCACTGAAAAAGATACCAAAACAAACATTTCTCTTCAAAACTGGCTGCAATTTCGCATTTTTTTAGAAGTGTGAATAATAAGAAGTTACCAAAAATTTCACGTCACGCAATAATGATAATAATTTAAAAACTACATTTTGAATATAAATTATTAAGTATACAAATTAATATATGGAACAAAACAAATGCCTGATGATGAACATAATATATGAAGAGTATCAAAGAATACTATTTAAAAAGTTGCAATTTGAATGCTTTGATTACCTGATGATTTATTAAATTTTCTCTTAATTTAAAACTTAAGGTGTTATGGGATGGCAACAATAAAATAACATTCCTTGGAGGACTATGCATTGTATAGTTTAAACAACAATATATAGCTATAACTTAATATTTAATAAATGGTTTCTATAGATAAATTTTCTATTTGCTTGAAAGCAATTTTAAAGTAAAATTAATTTTGAAATTATATACGTACGTGTTCTCTATACTGTGGCTTATTTATTAAATATTGCGAGTTTCACCTTTCCATATAGTGCCCATTTGCAGAAGAGAAAAACTTATTTGTTTTCACCCCTTGTATACACAACTTCCTAAACAGCATATGTTATAGTCTGTTACTTTAGAATAGGTGCTTCATTTCCTAGAGCGCAGGTTGTCTAATAAGCATGGCAACAACTGCAGCAGAAGATAGCTAAGTGGCAACTGTTCACGTTTTGTTTTTGAAAAGTGCACAAATGAAGGGATTTGAACTACAAATCTTAAATTAACAAGGGAAAACAAGTGCTGTGAAATGAAGATACGAGGAGTATTTTTAAAGTTAAAAATAAAAACCAAACGAAAGAAAATTTTCAAAAACCAAATTTATTTTCAGATTCTACATACATTTCTCTATTTTTCAACATAACTGCCAAGTTTTTTTTAAACACTTATACCTTAGAGCTAGATTTTAAATACCCTCTTCAAAGAAACTTGCCGCCTGCTCTAACAACCAAGAGGTCACGGCCCATTTTCACGCATTCGCCATTGTTGTAGGGATTGCCACCAAGATGATGTTTGAGATAGCGGAAAAGATGAAAATTGCTTGACGCAAAATCTGGGCTGTAGTAGAGGGAGAAAAAAACTTCCCAGCCAAGAGTCCAATAAAGCTTGATCTGAGCTGTAGTGTGAGGCCCTGCATTGTCATGCAGTAGCAAAATTTCCTCTGTCTACATTCCATGAAGTCGACCAACAAAACACCATGCCTATCCCAAAACACGGACATAACGATCTTATGCCATGACACAGTCTGTCTGGCTTTGACCCCTACAGGAGAGTTCGTGTGTCTCCTCCATGCTCTGTTGCTTCCATGACATGCGAAAGCCATGTTTCATCTCCCATTATAATCCGACTCAACATGGCATCATCTTTGTTATAATGAGTAAAAAAATTCAGCTAACACTCAAATCTTTTGTTTCTGTGTTCCTCTGTTAGAGTTTAAGGACCTAACAGGAACACAGTTTTTAAACCTTAACTTTTCGGAATCAATCTTATACAGCACTCACTTAGATACTTCACGAAATTTGTTTGAAAGAGTGCTCATGGTGACGCATCTGTTCAAGAATTTTTGCTTCAACTGAAGCCACCATATCGTCTGTGATCACAGATGGGCGATCGAAGTGAGACTCGTCAAGGATGCTGTCGCGGTCTTTAACCCACTTACACACACTTTGCTTTCACTCATGGAAGTAGCTCTGTAAACGTCACATACTCGAACATTTCAAAGACACAGAACAGACCGCACACGTTACCCACACAGCTGCAACTGCGCACAGTTGTTTCTAAGGAATGCTGGGATACGATGCAAGCTCTCGTTTCGGTGCGTGTTCCACCTATTAGTACATACAACAAAACAGCCCTTACATAAAAAAACACGCTATGTACATGTTATGATCGTAAATAAGGATGGATCAAAAAGATTTTGAAGCACCTATTTTAAAGCAACAGAATACAGTATGGAACTATTATTTTAAAAAACCACCTTAAAAACATGCTTGTGAAAGATTCTCGGACCTATCTTTATAGCAATCTTTAACAACAGTATGAAGAATGAGCCTGAAAAACCTATTCTGCTCATACAGCAAAACCCTTGCCGAGCAAAGATTTGTGGAATGCTATTTCGCACTTACACATTATCTTATGAACTTAAATAGTTTAAGTTATACAGTCAAAACAGTTTGTTTAACAGAACAGTTTGTTTAAGTTATACAGTCAAAAGTCTAATCCACACGGCCATATTCCAGACGTCAGAGCTACAAACTTTCTATGCCGCATGCGTTAACGCAGTGCGCGTTTAATGTATAACGGACGGTATAAGCTAAGCTAAAATTATCTAATTATCTATTTCAGTTAATGTTGCAGATTGCGTTGTTCCTTAATCTTCGAATTGGATCCGGCTTATTATTTTTTGCAGAGTGTTAGAGCAATTTTATAAAAGTAAGCTTGAACTTTCGATTATGTCAAAAAGAATTTCCGATTCTGGAGCTGCCAAAGTAGCTACAAAGCAAAAGCATGTTTCAATGTCCATCAAACAAAAAGTGGAATTGCTGCAAAAAATGGATAAAGGCATATCCTTTGTTCTCTAACCATTCCGAAATCTGTTTATCAATTTCACGCTGCTTTGCAGGGCCGGGGTGTGGGGGGGCGTTGCGGCATGCAATGAACTGGAAGTTGATTTGTCAGCACTATCCTTATCTTCAGGGCAGATGTTTTTATTTTATTCAGCTTATAATTCCTTACTAAGTATAGTTTTTCATCTCGA